TAATGAAACTGACGAAGAAACAAATGACAAAATGAAATGAAGTTCACATTCATCGATTTATTCCAAATGATCGTTAGACTAAGTAAGGCACAGACTGACCATTATAAGGGTAAAATGATACCCGGGGTCAAACAGCAAAGTTACCACAGCATCACAACCAAGTCAGTAACGGGTAAATCCTCCTCTGTTTGCCAAACAAGCATTGATCCGACGTGGCATACTCCTAATGAGACGTCTAAGGTCATTTTGGTCCAGATTGTCCCATTCCTGTTGCAACGCAGCAGCAAGTTCTTGGACATTGGCAGGACGTTGTTGACGTAACCTCTGTCCAAGCATGTCCCAGACATGCTCGATGGGGGAGAGGTCGGGACTCAGTGCTGGCCAAGGTAATGTGGTGATGTTCTGTTGTTGGAGGTAACCTGTAACGATCCTGGCCCTGTGACATCTTGCGTTGTCATCCTGGAAGATGAAACGGCGGCCATGACGTCGTGCGAACGGCACAACATGGACTGCCAAGATGTTGTCCCGGTAGTACTGGCCTGTAACACGCCCTGCAACAACATGTAAAGCCGTTCTTCCAGCAACAGTGATGCCTCCCCACACCATAACAGAACCACCCCCAAATCGATCATGTCTGATGACGTTAACGTCTTGGAAGCGCTCGTTTCGACGACGCCACACCCTCCTACGTCTGTCCAAAAAATCAACAGTGAACCTTGACTCATCTGAAAACATCACATTGCTCCAGCGTCGATTATCCCAGTGTTGACGATCCCTACACCAACGACGTCTTGCCTGAATGTGATGATCTCTCAAACAAGGGATCACGCGAGGACGTCGGGCGCGAAGGTGACCCCTATGCAGTCGATTCCGAATCGTCTGGCCACTCACTCTCACACCAGTGTCTGTTTGAAGACGAGCGCTGATCTGATTTGCTGTGATGACACGATTTCTCAAGGCCAAGGTACGGATAAATCGATCCTGGGCTTGAGTTGTCGCCCTTGGTCGACCTGGGCGTGGTCTGTCCTGTACAGATTGTGTATCACGGTATCTGGACCATAGCCTGCTTATGACAGACTGAGAAACATTCATCGTCCGCGCTACAACCGCCTGTGTTGTGCCGATCTGTAGCATGCCAAGGGCACGTAACCTTTCATTTTGGGTAAGCCGACGCATATCAAAATTTGTTTTCTGGTCACTAAAACAATTAAACTGATGTTTCCACCCTGGAATTCAATGCCACAATGACTGTAACATTCAAAGTCAGAGTCGTGCAAATCTTGGGTTGGACCCCCATGATGATCCCAAGCATCACCTGCATTCCATGCGGTAGCTATTGGTGCGTTTGGGCGTCACATGTAACTGGAAATGTTTCTTCTGTTAGGTTCTATAGTGACTTTTTTCGTAGTCATTTGCATATTTTAGTATTATGCCCCCAAAATCAAATATCCCCTACTTTTTTTGAATAGTATAAATACTGGAAATTTGTACTGAATTGGCTATAGATTAAAACATTTTTTCTGGAGCCATTCTTTTTTTTTTTGTGCCGCATTTTTCGGATATCGATTATTATTTTTGAACGCAGCTGCAACAGTCTGGTTGGATGATCGGTTTTCGGGGCGGTCGGCAAAAAATTGGATTGAGGTTGCAAAAACATTGGACACATTTGAAGCCGGTTCAATCACGTACTAGATGGCGAAGCGTCTATAGCCCACGGCTCCGTAAAGTAAACGATTGACTGCTTGTTTGGAATTCAGGTCATCCACCTATGTTAGGCTGAATTGAAGTACCCCAGTTAGGCTATATTAGAACAGCCTGGAGTTGCTGTCAAATTTTCCAAATTTCCTCGGGGAGGCTCCCACACGGTAAACTTTGCGCCTCCGGGACTCGCTGATGACCTGCGCAGTCGTCTGCCTGCCCCCCCCCCCCACCTAACATTCATTAGACATATTGTTTCAACATACATTATGCAAGAGCTAAACATGCCTATGGCAGGTCTTTATTTGGGCCTGGAATGAATGTTATCTAAATTATTAATTAGACATCAATTCAGACAATAATCAACTCTCGATGTCATAGCCACCCTGTGATATTTACTGAATTTGAATCAGATCTGCTGCTCAGCGCTCATTGATGATTAAATCCAAAACTGGATAATCGAGCCTATGTTATTTATCGTACCGACTTTAATAATGATGATCGAGGCTAGGCGTAAAATTTAAAAGCTAACATCTCGGTTCAGGGTGGATCAATTTGATTGAAATTTTATGCAAATTCACTTTACATTATCTAGTTTTTAACTATTATAGTGAGAACTGCCAGCTCTTTATCTAATCCCCCACAATACCCCTTGTGAGGCAATGTGAATGCAGTAACTCCTTTATACATCATAGCTTGTCTGAGTAGGGGTGAGAATGGGAGTGGTGTATCGAACAGGCAGTTCGGAATACGGATTGTGAAACGTCAACCTGTAAACAGGAACTCGACGTATACGTCCGAAAGACTAGACACGGTTCCTTGTTTGACCCTCAGTCCTGCATCGCTGATAAGTAGAAAACACGCTGAAAAATCCCGAGGAACCTTATCGACTAACACCGGGATTGAACCCGGGACCGCCTGGTTAGTGAGCCACTGTCTTACCGTGGCCTGTCTCCCAGTCTTTATAGGCACGGGGGATCCTAAGGTAACACCTCAGATGGATTTTGGGTTTATATGAACTGGTCCCTACTTTTTTAAAAAATAAAAATAAAATATAAGCTGATCCAACACTCGGTTTACTGGATGGGGGGGGGGGTCTAGAAAACTAACGTCAATCTTATACTTCATTTAGGGCACTTGTAAGACTTAAGATTGAACGGCTCAAGCTGATTTCTGAGGATAATAATATTTTTACACTCGGTGAATATTAGATTCCTAGAAAATCTATGTTTACGATAGATCGAAAAATCAGAGAATTTAAATCTCTTCATTTTAGAACGAATTATGTGAACAAACTTTTTATTGTGCGTTGTGGCCACAATTTCCGAAAGGGTAGGAGCGTTACACCACATCTTTTGGAATTATAGTAACTTTATTATTGCTAAACATTCTTTATTGAAGACAATGATCACGTCATGTCACTCACCATGTACCAAGCTCAATCGTCAGCCATGAAGAGAGGTAATAAACAGAGAGAGACTACTGTAGAAATATCAACTATAGGTCAAGGGAGGTAATATCTCATTGTTTCTCTCTGATTTTTGATCAGAAACTGGTTCACAAGCGTTACCAATCATGTTGTTCTTGTTCTTTTTATTATCGGGGGCGATGCTCCCGTTTACAAAATACAAAACTGATGTTACTAATTATCAAGAGTTGCAAATTAGGACTTTGATCTATCCACTAGTGCTGTGTATCCTAGTGGCTTAATTTACTTCTCTCAATTCAACCTTTATAGTGTCAACCCATCCTTTGGTTTTGCTGCGTTTGGTGGTGATGCTGCAGATGCCGATTTTGGTGGTGGTGGTGATGCTGATATTGATTTTGATTCTCCTTGCCCCGACTCCGATCGACTTTACAGAAATATTACTGGTTATTGTAATAATATAAGACGACCAACACAGGGTAAATCATTTGAAAGATATAAACGATATGTTTATCCTCAATATCAAGATGGTAAGTAATCAACTCAGTCATGTATCAATTAAAGAACATTGTTGGGCTGGAGGTTTTTTTTAATGTAGCATTCCCTACGTGCCTTCTAAAGATGACAGAAGTTCAAACTGCATAGTTCAGCTGGGAAGATTGTATTGTATTTTTGTCACTTTTGTGTGTCTGCATTAAATAATTCGGTTTTTGAATCGCGTGACATTTGTCAACAGTTATGTTGAAATCGCGAACAGTTGAAGAGAATCAAATGGCGCGATAATAGTACCTTTAGAAGGGAGAGGGAGAGGAGGGGGTTCGGGTCTTGTCTTCTTTTCGTACTAATTAACTGAAACCCATGTAGGTTTTAAATTGCAACCGAACTTGCGGACGTTAAACAAACGAACGAAAATAGCAATGTCATGGACTCTTTATGTCGACATTCCGCCTCCTCTACAGAAGATAACAACACGTAACAATATTTTGATGGGTCTATTTTAATTCAAATTGAATCAATGACCTTTTCGCAATTAAATGGTTAAACATCAATTTGATTTGCGAGGAGTAATGCATGAAAAATTAGATATTGTCCCAGAAATACAAATAACAATCGGTTATTCCAAATGCACTTCATTATTTTTCATAAGGAAAATCGAAACAAATTTTCAAACATTAATTAAATTATCTCTTCTTTAGGTGTATGTTTACCGAAAATAAGATCAACACAAGGTTTCGGATTTCAATATGGTATACATTTTCCTGAACGAGGTAACAGACGCAAAGAATCTTTGGACAGTGGTAAAAGATTTGGTTCTTGGTCTTGGTGGGATTTGTACAAACTTTTGTATGATAAACCCTTATTACCCAGCGCCAGAACTGTTAGTGTTGTTGTACATCCACCTAAGAACGTTAACTCGAGGAATACAGTAATGCTTATGCAGTGGGGGCAATTTTTAGACCATGATTTAACAGCCGCTGCTATAGAACAACGTAAGTTTGTTTCCGATTTCTATAGTGTTTAGTCTACTAATGATTAAGGAGCTCGTGTAGCTAGAGAGGTGGGCGTCGTTACAGAATGGTACATGATGCTATATTTCACTTATCCCACTTACCCTATGAGCATTTCTCAAAAAGATGTATTCATGTATAATGTTTATATTTTGCACATGTATCTTTGTAGGGATGGAGTTAGACATGTGCCCAGTAGTTTCTCTTGCCCAAGTTTACTAAATTGAATAACAAACACACGAGGGTGGAACAAATCTTAATCTAGAATTGTAGATCACGCAGCAAAACGTGTTCCGTTTTTGTACAAAAATACACAATTCTATTTTCAGCTGATACACAGACTCCGTGTTGTGAGGAGATACTGGAAAATGGACTTCATCCAGACGTTTCCAATTGGTAAGATGTTGTCCATCATATTATCTACCACTTGTACATTAATTAATCATAGCTGCATGGTCCGACAGTTTTGGTCCGAGTTTCACGAAATTGGACCTCAACCCAGATTTTGATGTAACGGTGATATATGCGGACGTGTTTTTTTTTAAATCGGATAATAATTGTGACCTCTAGAGGGAACACAAGCTAACAATGCGATTTTTCGTACAATCAGGGGCCACAATTCAGGAAGTTACGATCTGATATGCACGAATACCGAAAGGAACCAAGATCTTTTGGTTATAAACATGCATTTTCAAGTTTCATCAAAATCACATGACAATAAAGTTGTGACCTCTAGAGTGTCCACAAACTAAAAACGTGATTTTTCGTACAATCCACGAAGTTATGGTCCGATACATGCCAATACCGGAGGGGACCGAGATCTTTGAAAGATAGACCTATATTTTACGTTTCGTCAAAATTGGATAACAATTGTGACCTGTAGCCTAGAGTGTCCACACACAAATTGTGGACGGACGGACGGACGTCCAGAAGGAGAGGGGCGTCGGCATAATGCGTCCACATAAAAAAGTGTGCGTATAAAAATCAAGGTAATAAGGCGAACGTTAACTCTCTGTATTGTTTACAGCTCAGGTCAATGTTTCCCCATCCCGATTGTTCAGATTCCTCCAGACAGATTCTTCAAAAGGAATTGTATGGAATTTGTTCGTTCCCGATCAGTTGAAGAGAAAATAGGTTTGAATGATTATTTTAATTATTTAACTCCAGTTGAACATAACGTAAATAATGGTAATAGGTATTCATTCATTCGGCTAATGTCCTTCAAAGCTATTAGCCGTCAACTGTTCTGGGCTTCTATCACAGGATCATCAGTTCGGAAACATGGACAAACTAATGTTCTGCAGGACTGACCAAGTTACTAACAACATAAAGTTGCAATGCGATAATTGGGCGCTGATTCGGCTAATAGGACGCCAGTCAGAGCAAAGATTTGCCGCTTCAAGCCTCCACGCTCTCCTAATCTCCTTATGTCTGTTGGGAAGCCGCCCGAAGTATACTTGCCTTGCTTCCAAACGGACCATCATTAAAACATTAGGGTCTAACAACAGTTAATTTAAAAACTGTTCTTTTTATCGATTAAATTCATATTGACTACCGCGATATGTTATCAATTGCTAAGCAATACCTCGTTTTTATCCATTTAGGTGGGGTTATGTGTAGATTAGGGTTAAGCCAGATGAACCCCATTATAACCACACGTCCACCAGCAACAAATTTTAAGAAAATTTCATTTAATTTTGATCAGGAACTGTTAAGAAATCCCAAATTATACAATTGTCCCGTAAGCATGAAATGTGATCAGTGCTGTATGGTCGTATGTAGTTGTATGTACATGTAGTTTAATTTTCTTATTATATTTTAGACGATGAAAATCCAAGAGAACAACAGAATCTGATAACAGCTTTTATTGATGGTTCCAGTGTATATGGCAGTGATGAAGAGACAGAAGAAAGATTAAGGGGTGAAAATGGTGAGAAACTTAAGCTAATACTTTTATTTTTATTTCTGAGTTCCCATCGACTGCTTTCACTTTGGGATTATTATCGAATCCCATTTATGAAATGAACATAAATAGTTCACGTAAATTGCTTCGGGTAGATAAGAGACAAACGCAGATTTGAAGATTTAGAATATGAAGCAACGAAAAGGAAAAAACGAAATGTCCTTACTTTTGAAGTAGATAGCGATAACAGATACGTGGCCGATTTTCAGCTGACTGATGATTCCGTTGAAATCGAAAAGTTGTTATTCCTCTAAAATCCGTCAAAGCTTTTCGTTAGAGGCGCGACAGTTCTCCGATAAAGGTCAAATAAAGTAGAATTCTGCTGGGGTAAGCTGTTTACGATTACGATTTCATCACAATCAAACGAGGTCGAAATTTACTTTAACTGTCGACTGTTCTATCGTAACAACGGTAACAGACGAATAAAGTACAATGTGGTAAAGTATCCATCTCGCAAAACAAATAACCAACCAAATGAAATTATTTTCGAATTAAAAAAATATCAACATTTATCACATACATACTTGTATTCGTAAAAAAACATTATTTAAAAAATGTCAAATGGTACAAATATTATTGTCGTTACTCAGTGCAAGTTATATTGATATGCCTCTTCAGGAAATGTACAAAATTTCAGGACGTATGGAAGTATCTGATAATAATTTACTACCAAAAGGAAATAGCAAAGACTGTATCGAGGAAGATAAATTCTGTTTTGCTGCAGGTAGTTACACATATTTCTCTGCATTTTTTTTTTAAATTCATAAAATATTGTATTTAATTTTCATAAAATATTGTATTTAATTTTCATAAAATATTGTATTTAATTTTCATAAAATATTGTATTTAATTTTCATAAAATATTGTATTTAATTTTCATAAAATATTGTATTTAATTTTCATAAATTATTTGTATTTAATTTTCATAAAATTTTCATAAAATGTATTTAATTTTCATAAAATGTTTTTAATTTTCATAAAATGTATTTAATTTTCATAAAATGTATTTAATTTTCATAAAATGTATTTAATTTTCATAAAATGTATTTAATTTTCATAAAATTTCATAAAATGTATTTAATTTTCATAAAAGTTCAAAAAATGTATTTAATTTTCATAAAATGTTGTATTTAATTTTCATAAAATATTGTATTTAATTTTTATAAAATATTGTATTTAATTTTCATAAAATATTGTATTTAATTTTCATAAAATATTTTATTTAATTTTCATAAAATATTTTATTTAATTTTCAAAATTAACATATTATATGAATTATTTTTTAAAAAATTAATTAAATTTTAGGAATTCAATATCTATTTTGGGTAGTTCTGAATTTTATTATCTGACATTGTGTTATGTGGGAGTCGATTACTTTTTGGAGATGTTGTTCAAGGTGTTTATTGGTTGTCTAATGTTATTCTATGTTGTTCTTGTCGTGTACTATTTTAAGGGGATGATCGAGTGAATGTGTTCCCTGGTTTGACTGCTTTACATACAACATTTGTAAGGTTACATAATACTATTGTTCAAAAATTGGATGAAAATACGGATTGGGATGGTGAGCGGCTATATCAAGAAACCAGAAAAATTGTTGGTGCTCTTTTACAGGTAACCATACTTTACAAAAGAACGTTTATTTGTATTTATAGGAACAAAAAATAAACGAGGGCTTGTCACTTTCCTATACACCCACCAGCAGTGTTAAGTATAAAACCAATGTCGACTATTCCCTATGAGCATGTTTTATAAAACAATTTATGAACTCAATACTTACCTTTTAAATTAAAAGGAGGGGAGGACATACAGTCTAACCATGTTTAAAACGTTCTATTAAGCAGTTTTCCCGTATCACAGTTACGAGATTTCATATATCTAAAAGTAAATTTGGGGATAGGCTCTTTTTTTGGTTTCTTTCTAAAAAATGTAATTCGAACTCTTTCTTTAAACTTCTTTCTAAAACTCTGTCGTGTAAAGTTTAATTTAAAAATTAGAAAGCGAGACTAAGCTTCGAAAATACCATTACCATGGTTACGATAATACACAATCAATACACACATCTTGTCAGAACTACAAACAGTGATAACTTGGCTCAGAATAAAGTAATTTGAATGAAATTTTCAATATATTCATTTTTCTTTTTCTATTTTATCTAAATTTTACATAAACCGAGAAAATTTAACTATTGTCCGAAATATTAAAAATAATATATGAATTAAAAAAAAAAATGTTTTCGGGGAGAGGGGGCGTCTAACGCTTTAGATTATCGGGTCTGTTATTGTGTCGCGTGTTTTTGTGTTCTGTCCAGGATTAGTACATGACAGGAGTGTGGTCACCTGCCTAACCTTGTCAATTTTCTCTGAATTACCCCCCCCACACACACACACCCATACACACACACACACACTGCTAAAGAGTCTTCCACGCAAGCAAATTATTGCATAAATATTGTCCATGTTAGTCTCGAATTGACATGACATGTGTTGAGTGGACGTTCGAGAAAACACTGCGCTGTATATTTATTTAGAATCTACATGCCATTTATTTCTGTTTCCAGAGAATTACTTACCTCGAATTCCTGCCAGAAATATTCAATAAAAGAACTTTACGAAAATACAAACTGAAAGACGGAAACTATAAATATAACATCAGCATTAATCCCAGTATAGCCAGTGTTTTTGCCACGGCAGCTTTCAGATTTGGTCATTCTTTGATTCCCGATTTCTTAGTCATTGATGGCGAAAAGGTCCGCTCCCGAAAATTGTTTAACAACCCTAAATTTGTATTTGAAAAGCTGAAAGCTTTGGTTAAGAGTGTCTTATCTAATCCAAATGAAACGGTAGATCGTTTCCTCACAGAAGAAATTACAGATCATTTGTTTGAAGTGGATGATCTGTCTTTTGATTTAGCTGCATTCAATATACAAAGAGGAAGGGATCATGGGTTACCTCCTTATAACACCTTTAGAAGGCTCTGTGAGTTAAATCCAGTTGTGACATTCTACTCAAAGCAGTTAGGATCAGGGGGACCTGCTATGGCTGGAATATACAGGTAAATATTTATATTTATACATACACTCAAATACTTGCAATTTGGACAGAAAGGGTCATCGATAACACATATTATTGGAAAAAACTTTCACGATGTGATAGATGGGATTTTTCCCATCTGTGTTCCCAATTTACCTCTGCTGTAACGTTGGATTGTCTACGTTCTGTTTTTTAAACATTAAGATTGTACTTCAGTAAAAATCATATAAAAAGTAAATGTAGTCTGTGTACCTGAAATAGGTGCATTTGTTACTACTACTGGATGTCAGACACAAGAGTTGGGTGCTATATGGATGATATTGTTATAAATACAGGATCGTAAATGATATAAAGGTTCTGTATAGATGATATACATGTACTAAATATATTTATGAAAAGGTGAGGGGTATGTATGTGTTATTATTACAAGATGATATAATATTATGTATTTGCAGGATGATATAATATTATGTATTTGTAGAATGATCTAATATTATGTATTTGCAGGATGATATATTATTATGTATTTGTAGAATGATATAATATTATGTATTTGTAGGATGACATAGATGTATTTGTTATTATTACAGGGTGATAGATGTATTTGTTATTATTACAGGATGATAGCTGCATTTGTTATTATTACATATGTTATTATTACAGGAGTGTAGATGACATTGATGTATTTGTAGGAGGTTTAGCTGAACCACCACTCGGGGGCTCTCAGCTAGGTCCAACCTTCACTTGTATCTTGGCTCAACAATTTAGAGATCTGAAATTTGGCGATAGTTTCTGGCATGAAACCAAGGATCGTAAACGAGGATTTAAATCAGGTGAAATAGCAATGATAATGATTTAATTTAATTTAAAGTAGCCAAGTCTTTAACACAATATCATCCACAGTCTTTGACATTGAAAACCCGAATTATCTGTCAATTTCAATCAACGTTGATGTGATTTTACCTGGAAAAGATGAGCTTCTGATATCCAATATTTAAGACAAAATAAGCGTTTTACCATTGGTACACGAATCGTGTACCAGAATGCGTTTCAGCGCCATTTGTATTAAGGGGCCCGAAGAACGAGGCTAGACATATTCCACAAGTCATGTCAAACGATGACGCTATATTCTTATCATGAGAGCATGCGCAATAAATGCTACCCGTGCAGACTGGAGTAACAAGACGCAAGAGATTGTCATTCGTATTTCGCCTGATTTGAAATTAGAGTAAAAACGGAAACGATTGAATGTAAATCAATTTATATACATTCATATTACATTAATATGCGTTTCGAACTATTTGTGTCAATTTCTAGATCCCAAATATTAGCGATTTAGCTCCTTTACTCTAATAATAATAATAATAATAATAATGACATTTTCAAAACAGTCTGACGTGTTTCGTATTGACCATAGGAAAAATATTTATGGGGTTTAACGTTCACTCGACATTGTATGCATTTTTATCATGTTCTCTTTCAACTCTTGCAAAATGTGGACGGATCTTGCAACTGCTTGTTTTATTAGATAACATTGTGTTTATGTATTTTAATAATTAAAATTATATATTACTCGTTTTGCAGATCAGCTTGAATCACTAAAACGAATATCTCTGGCTAAAATTATTTGTGAAGAAATTGGGTTAGATAGAATACAGAGGAATCCATTCCGTATTGTAACAAACGGGTGAGCTATATATTTGAATGCTCAAAAACTTATAGTTTGATATTGTTTATATATGGCGTAAATCATCAAGATTGATTTCCAGTCGATAGATAATGCGTATTTTCTCACGATCAAGTACTATTTTGACTATGGCAACCGAAAATAAATCTAAAGAGGACGACTGTCTATATAATAAACGACTGATAAGAACATAACTTTTAGAATAGCGGAATCGAAAAGCATACACAGTCTACAGATTTTTCAAGAAACTGACAATTTTATCTAGCATCTGTATGTATTAGGGAGGTACAAAGGATAGGTTTAGGCAGGAGTCGTGCGAACTAGACTACTAGAGAAAATTAAAATTGCCATAGCCTATCAAAATTAAGAGGTTAACCAAACACCACGCCTTCCGGCCCAACGAAGTTAGTATTCAGCAATTCATATCGCTTCAAGTTTGATTTGTGAATAATAAATCTATTAAATGACAAGTTTGGTGATATTGTGAGTTTATATATATATTGAATATAGTCTGCATTTTTTTTTTAAAGGGTGGGAGTGGGGGCGGGGGCGGGAGCGGAAGTGTTACATGTAGCTACTATTGTGAGATGTCTTCGCCGAGTCTAGATAAAATGGCGTGCGATATAATTATCATGCCCTGCTGCAGTATACTTGACTAGATAATATTAGAAATTAGAATCCCTTCAAGTGCCAGTGGGTTGACGATAATATACTCAAACATGAAAGTTTGGCCTATCGCAACAAATGATAGATTTTAACAGGAACTTTAACCAGGATTTATCAACTTTAAGTTTCACTTTTCATGTTGATAATCCTGGTACAACGTGATCAGTACTCCATTACTATATAATGGTAATTATATTTTCAGAAATCCAGAAGTTTCGTGCGATAGTCTACCTGAGTTAGATCTGAGTCCTTGGTGGGAGACTAACTAACTAACTACTACAATCATCATAGGAAGCAGTCTTCAAATTTGTAATTTATTTGTTTATGTAAAAGCCCAAATGGAATTTAAAATTTATCGAATCGGTATATTTATATTTCTTATGGTTCAATAAATAAATTTCGACGTTGACTAGAGAATAATTATCGAAATGATTAAATCGTATATGGTAATGGGGGGCGGGGGTCGATGCGGAAATATTTTATTGTACTTGGTATTATTGTTTTCTCCAGATCGGCTCAGTTTGCTTAATTTTAGAGTTAACAGTATTTGCAGGAGGACCGCACAACACACAGATAATTACGCAACACAAACCTGCGGACATGACACAATGTACGCACACCACCTGTATAGTTCCGGACCTGTAATGATACAGAATTCACTCTAAATGAAAAAATAACAATAAGGGTAGTAACTTAATAAAAAGGGGAATATTTCCTAAACGTTGTATCCTACAAGCGTGGGTCATGATCTGCTATGTATAACAAAAAATCTGAATAGGCACATTGAAGGAAAAAACCTTTTTAAATAACCTACTTTGTGAAATATAGTAAAAAGCGAAGTAAAATTAAATGGCTTATGTAGAACGAAGCCAATATCATATATTACCAAACCAGCTGGGGTCAACAAGTTCACTGCATCTAAAAAATGGTTCGTATTTTATAAGATAGGAAATGTTATGAAACTTATTGAGCACTTTGTCACATGTGGGGCTTAGTTGATATAATGTGCGCATGTATTATTCCAAGCCACAAATATTTGGCGACTTTGCCCAGAATTCTTCGGTGCCATACACTGCGAGCCAGATGTCCAAACAGAATATACACCCTTTGCAGACATTTGTGTAGCAACCAGTAAGGATGTGAAATGAAATGGTTTGGACATGCATCACCCAGTGTGCTATATAAGGTACAACTTTGTTGGGACAGCTACGGCTACGGATTACTCTCATTTCCATTCCAATTTGTGGGAATTTATGGCCCATCCGAGCGACTGGACATTTTTTCTTGCGAGCCTTCCGACCTACACCAGTGACAAGGGGAAATCAGGTTGGTAAACCCCGAGGAACTTAATCAAACCTGGGACCCCTTTCCGGTTATTAATTCATGAACATACTAACGAAGACAACAATAAAGTATACTGATGTATCTAGCCATCATTATGCCAATGAACAGAAGTTTTCAAACCAAAAAGGACTCCCATTTTATAGAGCTAGTTTTTTTCAGACACCCATGGCTTGTATTTAAAGATACATTATTAGGAGTTAGCCATTCTTGCTATAACAGTTCAAAAATAGATGATGAAAGAAGAATAGATTGAAAATTTCAGTCAAATTACTTTATTCTGAACATAGTTATCACCAGTGTAATTTTTGACTAGAAATGGGGTTGAATTCCATCTTCACCGATTCTTAGTATGGCCAATCGTTTGATTGACAGGCGTTAACTCCACCTACATAATCTCTGCTGTCTTGTGTCTACGTCATCATATCCGAATTTGTGTTTTACCTTTTAGGATTTTTATAACAATTGGACAAAATGAATGAGAGGGTAAATTTTCATTCTTACTTGTATTTTAGGCATGCATTAAATCAATTGAATATAGGACATAATATTATAATACAATTATGATAAATCTATAGGTACCAGTGGCGTCGTGCCTATTGGGGAAATAAAAATATTTTTATTGATATTATTAAGACAGAAGACCTGTCCGTCTGTATTAGTCATCACACGGTCTCCAGGAATTGTATAATTTGTCATTATCTGTGTTTAGTTTATTGCACTTTAAATAGTTTAGATGTCGTTTGTTAAGGCATCGCTCAACAGCGGCCTCGCTTCGTACACTCTATCATTTAGCCTCGATCCGGGAGTATGACGTCAACGTAATGGTTAATCTCCGCTCACGACGCCATTTAAAATTAAATCAGTCAACGAAATCCCGTTTAAATCCAAGCTGAATCCAAGCCATCCGTGGGTCTACAGAGTTGATTTTGTGCTTGTTGTGTAAATAAAGATCTGATTTATAATTTCTATGACATCTGAAGCCTAAATAAAGACTTGCAATAATCAGATTTAGCTCTTGCATAATGTATGTTGAATACGAAGAACAGGACTAAGCAAACTATTCTAGCAATTGGATACACACATTTTATGCCAACACAGTATCTTTCTCAGTTTGATCAAAGCACGCATAAACCAACAACACAGTCAATGATATAGAACAAACCCTTTACCTGAAGAAATATTTAAGCGGTGTTATGCCTGAATCTGTTGAAAGCTATACTTGTACAAACTTATAATATACTATTCAAAAAAAGTAGGGGATATTTGATTTTGGGGGCATAATACTAAAATATGCAAATGACTACGAAAAAAGTCACTACATAACCTAACAGAAGAAACATTCCCAGTTACATGTGACGCCCAAACGCACCAATAGCTACCGCATGGAATGCAGGTGATGCTTGGGATCATCATGGGGGTCCAACCCAAGATTTGCACGACTCTGACTTTGAATGTTACAGTCATTGTGGCATTGAATTCCAGGGTGGAAACATCAGTTTAATTGTTTTAGTGACCAGAAAACAAATTTTGATATGCGTCGGCTTACCCAAAATGAAAGGTTACGTGCCCTTGGCATGCTACAGATCGGCACAACACAGGCGGTTGTGGCGCGGACGATGAATGTTTCTCAGTCTGTCATAAGCAGGCTATGGTCCAGATACCGTGATACACAATCTGTACAGGACAGACCACGCTCAGGTCGACCAAGGGCGACAACTCAAGCCCAGGATCGATTTATCCGTACCTTGGCCTTGAGAAATCGTGTCATCACAGCAAATCAGATCAGCGCTCGTCTTCAAACAGACACTGGTGTGAGAGTGAGTGGCCAGACGATTCGGAATCGACTGCATAGGGGTCACCTTCGCGCCCGACGTCCTCGCGTGATCCCTTGTTTGAGAGATCATCACATTCAGGCAAGACGTCGTTGGTGTAGGGATCGTCAACACTGGGATAATCGACGCTGGAGCAATGTGATGTTTTCAGATGAGTCAAGGTTCACTGTTGATTTTTTGAACAGACGTAGGAGGGTGTGGCGTCGTCGAAACGAGCGCTTCCAAGACGTTAACGTCATCAGACATGATCGATTTGGGGGTGGTTCTGTTATGGTGTGGGGAGGCATCACTGTTGCTGGAAGAACGGCTTTACATGTTGTTGCAGGGCGTGTTACAGGCCAGTACTACCGGGACAACATCTTGGCAGTCCATGTTGTGCCGTTCGCACGACGTCATGGCCGCCGTTTCATCTTCCAGGATGACAACGCAAGATGTCACAGGGCCAGGATCGTTACAGGTTACCTCCAACAACAGAACATCACCACATTACCTTGGCCAGCACTGAGTCCCGACCTCTCCCCCATCGAGTATGTCTGGGACATTCTTGGACAGAGGTTACGTCAACGTCAACAACGTCCTGCCAATGTCCAAGAACTTGCTGCTGCGTTGCAACAGGAATGGGACAATCTGGACCAAAATGACCTTAGACGTCTCATTAGGAGTATGCCACGTCGGATCAATGCTTGTTTGGCAAACAGAGGAGGATTTACCCGTTACTGACTTGGTTGTGATGCTGTTTGACCCCGGGTATCATTTTACCCTTATAATGGTCAGTCTGTGCCTTACTTAGTCTAACGATCATTTGGAATAAATCGATGAATGTGAACTTCATTTCATTTTGTCATTTGTTTCTTCGTCAGTTTCATTAGGTGACTTTAATAACACTTAAAAATCAAATATCCCCTACTTTTTTTGAATAGTATACAAAGTCTTTTTTTAGAAGAAGAAAGGTTTGGTAATCCTTTTGTCATTTCGTAATAAGTTAGAAATTCATATCGTTAATGGGGTCCCGGGGTCCCGGGGTCCCGGGGTCCTGCAAGGGTTGGTGGCCGGGGTTTTACCCAGAAATTATGGACTGTTTGCCATTCGTGGAGCAATATAGTTATGAATCATCTGTCAGTAATATTATAAATCGCACTACAATATACAACACACATACCCT